AATATTTGTTACATCACAATCACTAGGCTGATGTACTGGCTTCACTTAAGGAGGTCTGAACTGATGTTTTCACTGAGTTGCCCTTCACTTATGATGTCCTTAAATTGCTCACAAGGTGCTTCTCTGGCAAATGCTCAGTAAACGTGTTGAATGTCATTCAGATAGCTGTATTTTAAACAGGAGCGCTTGGTGGTTAGCTATTCAGAATAGCAGTTTTGCAGATTAGTAACTCCAATGATGGAGAAGGTCAAATCACTTTTGGTAAAATTGCCTCAGAGGGGTAGCCATGTTACTATATATCAGTTAAAGTTATAGACTATCATGAGCTTTCGTGAGCAAAACCCACTTCCTCAGATGAGCAGTGAGTTTTGCCCACGAAAGCTCATGATACTATATATATTATTTTTTTGTTAGTTTCTAAGGGTATGTCTAGACTGCATCCCTCTGTCAGCAGAGGGCTGCAGATTAGGCAGGTCGACATTGCAAATGAGGCAGGGATTTAAATATCCCATGCCTAATTTGCATAAATATGGACACTGTGTTTTGCCGACTCAGCACTTTATCAGCAAAAAGCGGCAGTCTAGAGGGGGATCTGTTCAGAAAGAAAGCCTTTTTCGACAGATCCTATAAACATCCTTGCAGGAGGCATAAGGGATCTGTCAAAAAAGGCTTTTTTTCTCAACAGATCCCCCTCTAGACTGGTATCAGAGGGGTAGCCGTGTTAGTCTGAATCTGCAAAAGCGGTGAGGAGTCCTGTGGCACCATATAGACTAACTGAAGTGTAGGAGCATAAGCTTTCGTGGGCAAAGACCCACTTCGTCAGATGCATCTGACGAAGTGGGTCTTTGCCCACGAAAGCTTATGCTCCTACACTTCAGTTAGTCTATATGGTGCCACAGGACTCCTCACCGCTTTTGCAGATTCAGACTAACACGGCTACCCCTCTGATACCAGTCTAGACTGGGACTTTTTGCAGACAAAGTGCTGAGTTGGCAAAACGTGGTGGCCATTTTTATGTAAATTAGGCGCAGGATATTTAAATCCCTGCCTCATTTGCAATGTCGACCTGCCTAATCTGCATCCCTCTGCCGACAGAGGGATGCAGTCTAGACATACCCTATGGTGCTCCAGGACTACTGACTTGTCTGAAATCATTTTGCCAATGCGGAAAGTGGAAGAGTCATTATAGCCTCATCTGACAACAAAGTATTTATGTAAGGTGCCAAGTTATTTTCAACCTTGGCCACCTGATCCTCAGTGGTGTGATGAAGCAGGAGATTCCCTTAGCATTTTGCATGAGTGTAGTGAGTGCCTCAATTTCCCTGTGCGCTGCATTTGTAATGTGGCAATGGGAGAGGAGGTTTGTTGTTGCAGAGAATCACATATAATCTTGGCTGACAGCCAAGACCTCAGACAACACCCTGGAGATGGATACCTCACTGACTGGTGACCAGGAGGCTCAGCCCAGCTTGAAAGGCAGCTGGTTCTGGCCAGTGGGAGGGCAGTGGGCCAAGGAGAGAGTATCCCAGTGACCTGACCAACCAGCTCCAAACAGTAAGGCTACGTCTACACTGGCAGCTTCTTCCGGAAGAACAGCACGAGCGTTCTTCCAGAAGTAAATTTACAGTACAGCGTTATAAAACAGGGCTTCTTCCAGAAGAGTAATTCCTCTCCCCACGAGGAATAAGCCCTCTTGTGCAAGAGCTCTTCCAGAAGAGGCCAGTGTAGACAGGCAACATGAATTTCTTGCGCAAGAAGCTCCTATGGTTAAAATGGCCATCAGAGCTTTCTTGCGGAAGAGAGCGTCTACACTGCCATGGATGCTCTTGCACAAAAGCACATGGCAGTTTTTGCACAAGAACTCTTCCGCAAAAGAGTTCTTGCGCAAGAAGCTGCCAGTGTAGACGTAGCCTAAGAGAACAAAGGATAGAAGACAGAGGGCCCCAGAGACCTGTTTACTTGGGACAGAAAAGAAAGGAGAAAGGAGGAGCTAGTGGGGAAGATGATATAGGATGCTCAGCTAGAAGGAGGGAGTTTCTGGACCAGGGTGAGAGAGCAGCCAGAGACCATCTGGATGAGAGAAAGACTTAGATGTACTGTGCTGAGAGTTGCTAGGCTTGAGGGCCTGAGAAATGCCTGTGCTGAGTTCAGATATTCAATGAAACCTCTCATTTTACACTGGATAAAAGTCATTGTAGGGTTACTCCCAGGAGCTGCACAGAGCCAAAGTGAATGGGGCCTATGAGTCCATGACAAAAGGTCTCCTCTAATAGGGTGGAAGTGAAAGCTGAGGAGAAGGCGGTGCCTACTCTTCTTACAAGAATAACTCCAGTCAAATACAACTGTTAATGAAATAGGGCCCAGGGTCTCAATAAGGCCACTGGAGATTCCCAAGGGACATAAAAAGAGGCATACATCATTGATCACTGATAAAAGAATTGCATCTTGCAGAATAACCAGGAGAACCCTCTTGGAAAACCTGCTGCCTGGAAGAGTCACTGTCAACATATTTCAGGAGAGGTGATCATTGTTTGCCTTGGATGGTCAAAGTCATATATAAGGAGTTTTGAAGGAAAAATGTGAAGTCAATGATCTAGGAGCTCTTGATACAAACAGAAGTCTGGTAAGTAACAAGGATTTATTCAACACAAGAAGGTCCTTGGAGTATCTATACTGTTGCATTACCAATGGCAGGGGGGACCCACAGAATTGCACTCCAGAAAGTGCCAGGCCTCGGGCAGAAGGGGTAAGGGTTAGGGACTAGCCTCCCCCTGCCAGCCCTTCAGTGCTGCCTAGAGCACAGCATGTGGGGTTCCAGTGGCAATGTAAAGGGCTGAGGACTCTGGCTGCTGCAGCAGCAACCAAGAGTTCTGAGCCCTTTTGAATTGTTGGGTACTGGGACAGTTGTCCCTTTTGCCCCTCCCCCCCCAGCAGGTAGTTAAATAAGACTGGGTGGAGGCCAACTTGAGTACCAAGACAGGTATCAATCTTTAGAGCATCTGTATTTACGGGCCCCCAATCCTCTTAGGTAGTAAACCTCTTAGAGGAAGCCTTAGATAGCCTCATGATCCATGGAACTGTTTTAGAATTCCATCTTGGACCTCTGGTCTGTGAAACATTTTTCTCAGTTGACGACTGAGACTTCTAAGAGGGAGATCTAGTACTCCTACTTACCTTGGCTATGTCTTGTCAGACACTTAGAACATGAAGCTCTCTTTACAGCAGGCACTGATGCAGGTCTACCTTGCCAGAGGCTTTCAGTGACTGAGTCCCAGACATGGCAGAAACTGTGTCCCTTGAAGCTCTTGGTAACTGGGATCCTGAAGACAGAGTACTAAGAGTGCTTGGAGACTGGTGTACAGTGCAGGCTCTGCCATCTATAATTTAATTTGATCTCCCTGTTTTCATCTGATCTGCTTCTGAAGGAGCCTAAAGCCTGCGGATCTTAGCAGAGGGAACAGTGAAAAAGTCCAGAGGAAAAAAAAAAACTAACAAAAGCAAAATAACTCCCCAAATAATGACTACATTGAATAAGCAAACTATTGTAAGTAAAGTGGGCAGGCTCGATGCTCCATCTCTGGCCAAAGACAGAACTGAAGTGGGTCCACCAACATAGCCCTTTATGTCCTCGGTACAGGTGCCAGTTAAAAAACCACTGACATCAGAAATCCGAGGCACATGTGCACCAGAAGTAACCTGGAGTGAAGTAGCCATAGGGACACTATTCAAAGAAGAAAGGAAGGCATCAGGGCACTGTCATGTTTATCCATGGGCTGCCTGGAAATTGTGAGCTTGTAGGTCTCATTATTTTAAATCCACTTCTATGATCAGCATGTACCTTCAGGCAAAACAAACCACACTTTGCTTTGGGGATCCTGTTTCTGTGTCACGGCATGTAGTTGACACATACAGGCCAAAAGAACATGACTGGAGACCAGCAGGCTGTAACCTGGAGATCCAGACTGAGAACAGCTGGATCACAGGACCCCATCCCAAAGCTAAAGGGAGAATGAAGACCCCAGTGTTTGGCAGAGAAAATGGGACACAGGGCCCTTGCAGGGCAAGGAGAGAATGGAGACCCTGGTGTGAAAGGAATACATGGGAGGCATGCAAAGTCTGTGGCATGTAAGGAACAGAGGAGCAATTGGACAGGGTCCTTGAAATAGAGGGAGAAGTGTACCAAAGCTTGTGAGGGGGATGAAGGGAAGTCTAAAGGATGCACACGGAGCTCAGCTGTCAGAAGCTATGAAGCCTGCCCCTTGCCTTCTGCAATGATGTTCTTGGCCCGGCTCTGCTTGGTCCCCGGGACAGGGATCAGCTGCAAGTGCTGGAGGGTAGCTGCACCCTCCAAAGTTTCACTGGTAGGGTCGCTGGCGGCATTTGGTCCATTATAAAAGAGGGGTTTGTGGGCAGCATTCAGATTCCAGCTCCAGCTGAAAACTGTGACAGCTCAAGGGAAGGGGAGCTTCAGGGAGAAGCTGAGTTAGTCTGTTACAGAAAAAACAACAAATGGTCTGGTAGCACTTTATAGACTAACGAAACATGTAGATGGTATCATGAGCTTTCATGGGCATAGCCCACTTCTTCAGATGATCGGAGTTATAGTCTATAAAGTGCTACCAGACCAAGGAAGGGGAGGGAGGCTGGAGGCTTGAGACGCCTGGTGAGGCAGCTCAGAGCAGGCAAACTGATGTTCAATTGCTGCCATCTAGTGGCCAGAGCCGCTCATTACCTGGCACAGTGGGGGAGACCTATGGAAGTACATAAAATCCTGGGATCGCAGCACACATTCGGATCTACATGTCAGGCCACTACAAAAATCGATGGAGGAGATATCAGGCTATACAGGTCTATGCATCTCATCCACGGCAGCAGAGAGGGACCAGGATAGATGGGCCCAACCATCTGATTTGGGAAAACTGGGAAGGGATAGGATACTAATGGGTCCTGATTTAGAGTCTCAATTCCTACCTCCAATCCCACAAGAGATAGTCATAACATCAGTTTTCTAACAGATTTTATCTCTGTTATAAGCATTACAAGTTGGTATAAAACAGTCCCACCATACCAGCACTGCTGAGATGGACAGGAAACAATACCCCTGAGTCCAATGTGGAATGGCAGCGGGCATTTCAGTTCCCAAACCCAGGGCCAATCATTGGAGAAGTGTGGCATGACATTGCCCTGCACCTAAGACAGAAAGATCACAGAGAGGATAAACAGAAATTGTTAAGGACAATCACAGGAAATATCTGGTTAGACAACGGAGCTCTCCTGGGGGCCTCTCTGCCACAAGATATTGAGCTCAGATCAGACTCAACAAAAAGGTCAATATGGATAAATGAGCATATTCTGAATTGCAAAAGCAGCTTGGGACAAACTATAAACCCTAAAACTAAGGGAAACATTTCACATGGGCAGGGCTCTGCCACAAATATCTACTGGGGTTGTCTTGCACCTATTTCGAACAATTGGCCATTGGCAAAGAAAGGATACCAGACTTGACAGGACCATGGTCCAATCTGGTTTGGCTGGCAATTTTCATAAGAGATTGCAATGCTGGCAAAGATGGGTGTTAAAGGGGACAGGACAAAATGAAGCAGCGCATAGGCAACACTAATGCTGCTTGGCTCTTCACTCTGCTCCCTGCGTGGGCCTAGCAAGGTTATGCTACAGCTTCTGAGCCCAAGGAACTGGATTTCTTTAGCTCAGTGTCTAGAGCTGCGAGCTTCTCCGTGTTGAAGTCCCGAATTTGAATCCTGATGACAAGAACAATCCACCCAGCTGTGTAGCCTTACACAAGCAGGTGGAGAATTCAAGAGGAGAATTGAGAACCGTTTCCCAGCTGGGATGGAAATGATCTCCCCAAGGAAAGGGACAACCCCAGCCCCAAATGGATAAGTCCACCCTGAAAGCCCTGCCCTCCTGACCTAGAACTCAGTAAGGTCGTCGTTGAAATACAGCAGGATGGCTGGCATATACAGGCTGGAGTCCAGGTTGAGTTGGTAGAACTCCTCATCCTCGTCCGGGATCTTGTTCTGCTCCAGTGTCTTGTCCATGTTCAGGTTCACGCCCTCGTACTTCCAAGTGTAACTGGCAGCGTGGGCATTGTAGGGCAAGTAGCGCCTCAGGATGTCCCACATGGACTCCTCTGCACACACCTGGGAAAGTGACCCGCAGCTCGGTGTTAGAGACTCCCTGGGGCTGGGGGCACAGTCGCCTGCTGGGCTCAAGCAAGTATTTCTTCCCCAAAACCTCCAGCCACACCTGCCTGGTAAATTAAAGCACCAACCTTTCTCTCCTGCACCCCTTGCTGTTCAGTGGGGAATTCACAGCCTCTCTAACTCAGCAGCACAGCCTTGTATAAAAGTGGCTGCTGGGTAGAACCACCAAATCTGTCAGAACTGGCAGTGCATGGGGTCATCCCAGTCCCATGGAGCCCAACCTCTTCCTTCCCTGTTTCTTATATCCCTCCTTTCCACCATGTCCTGCTACCAAGGTCTCCCCAGCAGGAACTATAACTCCCAGAATCCCTGTTTCCAAGGGGGGAGGCGGGGAAGAAATAAGGACAAAGCCGGACTTAAAGGGCCAGTAAGCTACCTTGTCATGTGCATTTCAGGATAGGAGTGGCCTCAAGATTGGAGAGCCCATTTAAACCCCTTACCTGCCATGCCAAAGTAACTCAAGCTCCCTCCCACCCCCCGAACGGTATGTAGGGATGGCAGTTTGCCTGCTGCTGCCACTCAGTCCCTGCCCCCCTTGGCATGAGGCCCAGCTCACCTCTAACACATGCTCCTGCGAGGTCAGGGTGTTAACGATACGGATGTGCCGGGTTTTGGAAGCTAAAATCCCCACCTCATACTTGCTGTCCTTCCACCAGGGCAGCCCGAAATCATTTGCCCAGTCAGAGCAGGGAAGCTGGGGCGGGATGTGGATGAAGCGGCCCTGCGGGGTATAGTACTTGAGGCAGCCAGTCAGTGGATCCACGTGGGTCTGGATCTGAAAGGCAGGTGACTCCATTACCAGGGCTAAGGGAGGAATCTGTCTGGATCCCTGCCACTGGCCACTGCTCCCTCGGTTGGTCAATGTGTTAGTGTCAGACCAGAACTGCACCCTTGCTTAAAGCTGTTGGGCCTGCTAAGTGTGGTAAACGGAAGGAGCAATTAAATACTCACTTTGTGTAGTGAGAGCTGACTATGAAGCCACCAATCCTTGAGTGCTGAGGGAAACAGGGATATGATTGACTGCAGATGTGCCTGTGCAGGGATGAGGAAGAAAGCTAGGGGTGCCACGCTGAAGGAATCTTTGGGGCACAGGACTGGCTGGACAGACAAAATTTGCAGACTTCTGAGCCAGGAAACTGCCAGCTGTTTTTCCCCAGAAAACAACACTGTGCTACATTCACTGCTTGCACTTCTTGTAGCATCCAATCGAAACAACCCTGAACATTTGCTCATGGCTCGGTGGGGAGGGGGAGAGGTGGTCTCAATACCTGACTAGATCAGCTGGTCCCAATCCCCACCGAAAACAAAGGAAGGATCCCAACCTCCTACTCCCCCAAGAAGAGCCACAACAGAAGCATGAGTGTGGGGCAAAGGGGAAGGAAAACTGCCACCCTCCCCTACTAAGGCCTGAAACCCCAAGAGCTGCAGATCAGGACCCCACTGGGAGGTCCACGAGCTTGTAGCCAGCCCCTTAGGAAGCAAGCCAATTCCACCCTGGGAGATGGGAAGGGGAAACCTGGGGAGAGCAGTAAGACTGAGAGGGAAAGTTTCCATCCCAGGATGAAGCAGATGGTGACAAGGACAGCTGGTCCTAACCTCCCACCTCCCACTGCAAGAGAGTTCTGCATCCAGCTGGGCAATTCCCTGAAAGACATCTAGAGACAAGAAAGGACAGAATAAATTTAACCATTAGTGTGAAGCCAGTAGGGTGGACCAGGGTCAATGTTCCCTTTACTCTTTTCCATCCATGTGTGGATTTTTCTCATCCATGTGTGAAATAATTTTATGTGCACCAAGGCATGTGTAGATGTGCACCACCAGAACAAACAGAAAACCTAGCTCTGGAAACTTTGCTAATCAGATGGGCAGCATTTCAATCTCTTCTGAGCAACTGCACAAGTGCACAGCTTATAGGGAATGCTGACCAGGGTGGATGGTTATCCAGGGATCCCTTGCCCAGGGCTGAAATGTAGCCATCCCAGAGACAGGATGGCTGGATAGAGAGGGACCCCTCACCCATTACTGAGAGGCAGTCCACCTGTGGCGCAGGGCGCTAAGATGGGATGGGCCAGCCGATTACACAGGGATACCTCATCTAGCACCAATATGCAGTCACCTGTGGGACGGGGCCCAACTGCTGTTAAAACACTTCACAATAGTTTTGGACACGCAGGGTGCGTCTAGACTGACAAAATTTTGTGCAAAAGCAGCTGCTTTTGTGCAAAATCTTGCCGCCTGTCTACACTGACCGCGAGTATTTGCGCAAGAACACTGACTTTGTACTGTACAAAATCAGTGGTTCTTGAGCAAATACTCCGACACTCCCGCTCAGGGATAAGCCCTCTTGCGCAGGTATTCTTGCGCAAGAGGGCCAGTGTAGACAGCCAAGTTAATTTCTTGTGCAAGAAAGCCCGATGGCTAAAATGGCCAGCGGAGCTTTCTTGTGCAAGAGAGCGTCTACACTGGCACGGATGCTTTTGTGCAAAAGCACATGCCAGTATAGATGCTCTTTTGCGCAAATACTTTTAACGGAAAAACTTTTCCGTTAAAAGTATTTGCGCAAATTCGTGCCGGTCTAGACGCAGCCAAAGTGAAAGAGAACCCTGCCCCCGTTTCAGACATCTGAGGTGGCGCCTGGGGACTGGAGTCACCACTGGCTCTCTGTAATGACCCCACACGCTGCCAGTTCTCACGTCTTTGGTCTTGGGGTTGAACCAGTGGCTAATGTCCTTTCCAGCGGCTTCCAAGATGGGTCTCAACAAGACGTCCCCTGGGGGAGACAAAGGCAGAAAGGAGACCAAGGGTCAGACAGGGCAGAAAGGAGGAGAGGGCACTCTTGGGGAGGGGCAAGAGGGGGAGGCTTTGCCAGGCTTGTGTGGACGGGTGGGGTGCAGCAGAGGGGAGCACGGAGAAGTGCTGCAGGGCTCTTGTGACTTGCGCTGTACAGAGGGTGGGCTCAGGTCAGGCTGTGGGGCAAGGAAAGCCTGTGGGGGTCCTGGGGGGGGTGCCGCAGCGCAGGTGCGTGAGGCCCAGGCGGCTATGAGGGCGGCGTGAGGATGGTGCCTGAGGGAGCCGGGAGACACCGCAGTGCACTGGGGGACATTGCGGGGGTGTGCGGGGAGAGG